CCCTGTTCTGTCTTTTAAACTTAATTTATTTTTATCTTATCTGTATGATCCACATGTGTTTAAGTGCACCTGAGTCGTACACTGACTATGGAGGACAGAAGAGGGCGTCAGAGCCCCTGTGACTAGAGTTATGTGTGATTGTTAGCCTCCATGTGAGTGCTGGGATTTGAACGTGGGTCTTCTGCAAGAGCAGTCAGTGCTCTTAACTGCTGAGTCATCTTTCCTGTACTTTCCATTCTGTCTTTTAAAGCAAAGAAGACGCATATGTACTGAAGCAAGTACTTACAAATGAAGGGATGAGGGGGACGTGGAATATAAAAACTGATGAAGATGGCTACCCAGTCACCACTGTCGGATATCAGTCGTTCAGCAGCAAACCCAAGGGGGCTTCCAGAAACTGGCCTGCCATTCATTGGTCTGCCATTTTGTTCATACACTCGGCATAACACCGAGCATCTCTCCGATGCGCACAGTGGGAGGTTACTCCTCTGTTGTGCTGGAGACAATGACTGCACAAATGGCTGATTTGACACTCCTTGATGAACACTGGTCAAAGCTAGAAAAGGAATTATTGAACTACACTGTAAACTAAATCATTACAGGCAGAAGAGGTGTTTAAAGCCAACTGGCCTTTAATATCACTGAATTGTCGCCATGGGAACAAATAAAAGGAAAAGAAACTATGTCTTTTGAGGCCAAGGGGGAAAATCATTATTTAAACAATTCCATGCTCAAGATGAGGAGTGATGTTAAGTACACAGGTAACGTGCTGATAATTCCAGGAATAAATAGAAGTCAAATTCAAAGGGTAGGAGGATGAAGGGAAGGCACAGGGAGATGAAGATCTCTCTACTTCCTAAGAAATCTGGGACCGGGTCTGACAATGACATCTGATATCCCAAGTTAAGACAATAACTTGATACTTTTTCAAAGAGTCACCTTTTTTCTAAACAATAGACTGGGCACTGGATGAGTGCCATTATTTATTGAATTTTCTTAGAAGAGCCAGTTTAACCAGTGTACACAAACCTCATGTAGATTTCCTCTCTCACACAGTCTCGGGAAGTCCCAAGGAACTGGCCAACATATAACTTATTCTAATGATGGGATCTTGTATTTTGATACCTTAAGTACCAGTTTTGGTATCCAGGCTTGCTCCAAGCTTGAGTTCTAAGCCTGCTGCATTCTGTCCTCAGCATGGGGTGTGCTCTCTCCAGTCCTTGGTGGTATTCTGAAAATCATACTTTCCCTGCAGGCAAACTCTGCTCCAAGGGATTTGTCTATATTCAGGTCCATCTACTGCACATCAAGATAAGGATGTAGTCCCGTGCTGAACTCTGTTTTGTTAAGACCTGCAGCATCAATTCTGCAATGTAGTCATAGGTACCCAAGGAACATGGAGATGGCTTCTAAGGAGACCATGTGAAGAAGACAGAACCTTCCCCTGTGCCCTCTTTAGAAGATGAAACATTCTAGAATGGAGGAGGGCATGCTTGTTGGCAGAACCAGGTTCAGAAGCCTTGAGTGAGCTTAGATGATGTAATGCCCAGAACATGGAAATTCAAGAAAGCAAAGAAGAGTTTAAAAGTTCAAGCAAAGCCAACTGAATATGGATTCATGAGAACAAAACAGTCATTCTGTGTGCAGGAAAAGGTGGTGTAAAGGGCCCTTTTGTCAAATAGTTCAGTGTGATCAATAATAATTGGTCAGAAAAAATAAATGGAAACAGGTTTGGATAAGTTTGAAGTCTCCCAGCCAATATTTAGAAAGAAAGAAATCAGGGTGTAGAAAACTCACAAAAGCCAAATGGAACTTTCATCCTATTCCCTACATAAGGAAAGAAGCCCAGTCATCCAAGGCAGCCAGGGATCGAATTATCTAAGAAATGTATCGAGCAATCCAAAGGACTCAGACCCTCTGTGAAGAACACAGCCGAGGGCCCGCTGGTCTGAGCATTCTGAATGCCCCACAGCCCCTCTGTGAAGAACAATGGAAGGTCCCCTTGCTCTGAGCATAATGAAGCCTTTGCAATCTCCACTCCTCAGCATCCATCAGAAGGTGACTGTGTTCCCACTATGACTCTCAGATTACTGTTACCTTTTAGCAAATCCTGAGCCTTACGCTGTCAGCTCAGTTCCCGAGACTGTTTTGGCGAAGTTAAGATTTTGTTCTTATAAATGAGTTAAGTAGCTTTCATATCTTTCTGTATGAAGTTCTAGCCCTCCAAACTTCTATTTTTAGGTAAATGGTTGTAACTTCCTTGGCCTTTCCCTATTGATTTCATAGGGCTTCTTCTAGGATATGAAAGAAGACATTTTCAGTGATACACACCCCTACAATAAAAGAGTGCATATTCCTGGGGGGCAACCCACGGGAAACCAGATGAAATCAAACCTCTCATAAGATTAAAAAGTCAGTACTCTTAGTCTTTAATGTTAAAATGCTTCTGCTCAGTTTTTAAAATAGGGGGAGAGAGGCAATGTGCCCTGCATTGAATTGTGTCCCAGAGAAAGACTTGTTCAAACACACTGGCTAGGGCTTGTGGCTTTACTGTGACCTTAGCTGGAAATATGGTCTTTAAAGGCATAATCAGAAGGTTGAACTGCACTGCTCTGGGTGCTGAGCTCAGGGTGTGGTGTCTTTATGATGGGAAGGAGAAGGATGCAGAGATGCATGAAAAGGTCCCGTGACAGTGGGTCAGAGATGTAGGAGAAGGCCTGTGACAGTGGGTAGAGGCTGGAGCAATGGAGCTACAGTCAAGGGAGGAGGAGGCAAGGAAGGACCTTTCTTTCTCTAGTGCTCCTTAGCACTGACAGCCCTGTGCTACCTTGATTTCAGGGTTCACCCTACAGGGCTGGGAGAAGATAGGCTTCCCTTGTCTTCAGTGACCTAACAGGAGGCAGTTTATTATAGCAGGCCCAGGAGCCAGTGTGCAGAGCATGGCTCAATGGAACAGGATGCTCTCTGTTCAGTGAACTATAGTTCAACGTGAGGATTTACAATTTGGCCTGCAAGTCGCTTAACTAATGTATTTTAGCAAACCTTGCTTGTGTGTGCATTCTTAAAAGCTTACATAGGATAATGGCCATGAAAAGCCAGACACATAGTAGGAAATCACAAAGAAATGAGATGGTCGAGGCTGGAGAGATGGTTCAGTGGTTAAGAGCACTGACTGCTCTTGCCAAGGACCTGGGTTCAAATCCTGGAACTCACATGATGATTAACAACTGTCCATTAACTCCAGTTCCAGGGGATATGAAGCCCACTTCAGACCGTTGCGGGCATTTCACCACACGGGTACACTTATATACATGCAGGCAATATACTCATACACATAAAATAAAAATAATAAATAAAATATATTTAAAAAAGAGATGGTGGGCTGGGCGTGGTGGTACACACCTTTAATCTCAGCACTTGGGAAGCAAAAGCAAGTGGATCTGTGAGCTCAAAGCCAGCCTGGTCTGCATAGCCAGTTTCAAACCAGCTGGGGCTACAGGAAGATCCTGTCTCAATAAAAGGAGGAGAGTTGGAGAGTTGGCTCAGTGGTTAAGAGCAGTGGCTGCTCTTTCAGAGGACCTGGGTTCCATTCCAAGAACCCACATGACAGTTAACAACTGCTCCTAACTACAGTTCCAGGGGATATGATGTTCTCCTCTGGCCTCTGCAGGTATTGAATGATATGGGTACACTTACATGCAGGAAAAACACTCATACACATAAAACAAAAATAGATAAATAAAATATTTGAAAAGGTGGGAGTGCTGGAAAAATGGCTCAGCAGTTAAGAGTACCGGCTACTTTTGTGGAGGACCCAGGTCCAGTTCCCAACATGCACAAGGCAGCTAATAACCATTTGTAACTCCTGTTCCCAGGGGTCCAATACCCTCTTCTGGCCTCCACAGACATTGCACATGTGACACTCACGTATATGCGGGCAGAAAATTCATACAAATAAAATAAAATAAAAAGTTTTAACCAGAGTTTGAAAAAGCACACTGGAGGAAAGAATGCTTATTAGCTTAAGATTGAATGTTGGAAATCTGCTAAATGTTCCTAAGGAGGCTTTGCCTACTTCAGTACTGTGAAAGGAGAGTTCACTGGGGAAATGATCCCTGGGTGGAACATCATACCATTGACCGATCTATATGAAGAGCTTAAGCTATTGATTGCTCTATTCTACCAGGAGTACTGTTATGTTAACCTTTAACCAATTGTAATCACATATTGACCCAGCAGTTCTAAACAGATAGACCTCTGATATAGAATGCCCTTTTTTTTAAAGAGACAGAGTTTTCTTATAAAAATTAATTAATTAAACATTTTTAAAAATAAAGATGGAAGAAATGAGAGAGGATTTTCATGACGAAAGGAAGAAACACAGTCATTCTTATTTTCACATCAAAGTTGTCCAAAAATCTCGCATGGTTTCTCACAATCATTTTTAGACATAAACAGTAAAATCATTTCAAAACTAATCAGTTCCCAAAACAAAGTATGTGTGAACATCAATCAATGCCAGGTTCTAAGACACAACAGAAAATGACAAGAATCTCCAATGGTGTGGGTACTTCTCTACTGTATACAGTCAAGAAGAGTTTTCTTTCCAGGAGCCTACTAGTGAATATCAAGACAAAACATTCAGTAAAAATCACATCTCCTTATGAATGTAGGCTGATGTGGCTAGGATTTTAAGAAATGAGAATGAATTGAAAAAATCATCCAACCGTTTCAGTTAACATTGACTTGCACCAAAGCATGCAATTTTAAGGTAAAGCTGAGATAGGTCAAGTTTGGCACATCTACCAAGTTGGTCATTTTAAGAACTAATACACAACCCACAATGTTACTTGCCGATTATTTGCATCCATGGAGCATACATGATGACATATACACATGCTTCTCTCAAATGCAGTGTAATACATTGAGAAATATTAACAAACATGCAATTCCATATGTCACCAGTCTTCAAGTGGCAGGGAACTGGACTGGTTACTTACTAATAAGAGCAGCAGGACAACGTCTGGGTTGTCACAGGCACACGCAATGTGCATTGGTGTCCAGAAGTCCTCATCTTGGTGGTTGACATTGGCCCCCCTGTCAATCAGGACTTCTGTGACGAAGGCATTTCCATAGCGCGCACACTGAAGGAAGGAAGAAAGGAAACACAGTTATAACAAATGATGGCAACATCTCTGATGGTCCAAAGATGACAAGTGAAGGCAAATCTCCTCTTAGTCGCCAGCAAAACTAAAGGAAACGGGAAGATGTCAGACTAAAGGGGAAACTGGACAGGAGACACTGGAGATAAAAGAAGTAAGCAGGGTCAGATAGCAAGAAAATCAAACCGAAGACCATTTATAATTGTTTTTCTAACATGTGCATTTGATCACATTATCCTTCTGATTTGAAGCATGCTCAGATTGTTACTGCCCGATGGAATAAAATTTAAACATTTTATTCCATTCCACCCTCGAAAATTCTTTGAATTTTTTGTCTCATTGTCTTCACAGGCAGCCCTCACGTGACCTACATGAGATTCGGGCAGCCCTCAGAAGACATACATGAGACTTAGGGCCTGTACTTCACCATATGGCATACTTCAACATGCTCCTGGTGAAATTAGTATCTTATGGCATAAAAGGTAATGATGTCATAAGATTATTAGATATGCTACAGTCTACTAAATCAAATTATATTTTTATTTTAAAGCTCAGATAAATATTCTGCTGAAATTAAGGCTTGTTTTGTGTATATTCATCTATGCTCCAAGGAAATGCCTTTATCATCATAGATTTTTCAATCATTTCAGTATTTCCCACACACTCAATGTTCTGGTTACCTTTATGTTGTGATAAACACCATGACCAAAACCAACTTGGGAAGGAAAGGGCTTATTTCATCTTATACTTAAAAGGCATAGTCCATCTTTGAAGGAAGCCAGGAAAGGAACTGAAACAGAGGAACACAGATCTGGCTTGCTCCTCTGGCCTGTCTCAGCCTGCTTTCTTACACAACACAGGACCAGCTGCCCAGGGGTGGCACCACTCACAGTGGGCTGGGCCCTTCCACATCATTCAGTAATCAAGACAATACCTCACAGTCTTGGCTAAAGGCCAATCCAATGGAGGAAATTCCTCAGTTGAGGATCCCTTTCCCCGGGTGTGTTAAGTTGGCAACACAAATCAACAATGACACTCTTTGTACAGTCCTTAATAAATGCTTTCTTACATTGATGATAAATATTATTCGTATTTGTACAATGAGCAAAAAATTAAGAGAACCTTTTAACAGACATATAAAACTTCTTTTCTATGAGATATATGATGTATATAGGATTTGTGTATATGAGACAGACTCCTTACCAAATCATTCAATATTCCCCTCACAGAGACTTATCCTGTGGATAGTGCACAGTGAAGCACATCATTGTTAGACTTCTGCTTCTGAGTGATGTGGATCACCTCAATGCTTCAATTATTCTTCAAAAGACAGAATCTATGACCTCTAAACTCAGGACAGAAAGAGAGAGACAGCGCTGCAGCAATGAGTGCTCTTGAAAAGGACCTGAGTTCAGTTCTCAGCACTCACACTGGACAACTCACAACAGCTTGTAACTCCAGCTTGAAGTGATCTGATGCCCTCTTCTGGACTCTGCTTGTTATCCACACATATGTGTATTCATACATCCATGCAGCCACACACATAAATAAAATAAAAATTAAACTAAATTAAAAATAAAAATCGGACATAAACATGGTACGTACTACTATGGCTGGGCTTGCTAACTTGAGAGAGTTCTTAACCACAGCATGGGAAAAGAATGCAGTGTTTAAAAATAAAAATTGGACATAAACATGGTACGTACTACTTGCTAACTTGAGAGAGTTCTTAACCACAGCATGGGAAAAGAATGCAGTGTGACAAGAGCTTATTCCCAAAATGTCCAGGAGGACTGTGTCACCAGAATTCACAAGGCACAGTGGAACAAAGGACACAGACACATGAGGAAAGAACTTCTGGAAGCAGGTTTTTCAAGGCTGTATGAACAAGGAAAGGGATGCTTCCCAGGAATCTCCCCACACCAGGGAGAGACCGCAGAGGACGAGCATTTACAACCCACACAGCAAGGTTCCCTTTGACTAGACTGGACACCTCAACACTGATGGGGCCCTGGGAAGCGTCTCAGAGATGTCTAGCCTCAGTGAAGAGGGGCACAAGGCTTCAACTAAACATAGCTCTACTCCCGCCAAAGAAATCATAAATGCAAGTCCCAACAGGAGCAAAGTGTTTCTAAACAGTTTAACAGCTCCCCAAAGTGATTAAGATGATTTACATAGATAAAAAGAAACATCCAGTACTTAACAGGCAAAATACCCTGTATCTAGAATTCAATAAAAATCATCAGGGAAGCAGCAAATCTGTATAAACAGGACCCACAGGACAGAGAATAAGTGGATCAGTGAAAACCCACCCAGAAGAGACATAGTTAGGAAAATTCACAAGTCAGAAGATCTGAAAGAGTATCAGCAAGGTATGTGACAAACAGTTATGATGCCTAAGGCAGGGGGATCGCAAGGTGAAGGCCAGCCTGCAATACACAGGGAGACTCTGGATGGATAGATGGATGGTTGGATAGATGGATGGATAGACTGATGAACAGATATAGACAGATGGTTATATACATATAAATAAGAAGATAGAGGGATAGACAGAGATGTATATGTATAAGCATATATCTATACATGTATATATTGCATATGTTCAAAATTCTAAGGAACTACTATTTTAAGTAGATACTTGGAAGAAATTAAGATACAAATTTAGCATGTAGAGATGAGAGAGACCTGCAATACAATAAGCTGTAAACTAGATTATTAGGTGAGACTAAATAGCAAACTAGATTACAGAATAATGATGCTGAAGACAATATGACTTAAACAGAATATAACAAGAGAAGAAAGTGCTTTAAAGAGAAGTCCAACCTCGGTAAGCCACAGCACATCCTCAAAAGCAGACTTCTGGATAAACAGCACAGAAAACTGATATATGATTAAACACATGTGGATCTTACTGCTAAAGTATCTTTTCTTACTATCATTTAATGTTGATATTAACAACAGTGGCTGAGCACAGTAGCTAATATCCTTAAACCCAATACTCTAGAGGCAGAAACAGGAAAAATACTATGAGTTACATAGTGACTAGGTTATACAGTGAGTTCTAGGCCAGGTTTATGTAGTGTTGGATATAGTATTGAATCCTGTCCCCCCAAATAAAACAAAGCTTTTCATATGAGCATATGTATGCATATGTACAGTTTGGAGACTAAAAAACATATTATTTTGAACCACATGTGAAGTGGTAGAATGCTGCTGGAACTACTGATATAAGTCAGCTATATTCTAGGGATGCTGAAACACCCATGAAAGTAACGAGCACAGAATGTAATACCATAAAACATAATCCTCAATCAACAAGATAATCGCAAAGGAGACCAAAATTGTGTATGTGGGGTGGGGACCAAATTGGAACTATAAACAAAAGCTAATAGAAGATTTCAAATTCAGCTTACAATTACTCATATAAAAAACGTGTGAGTAGTCTAAGTATAATTTAAAGGCAGAGATGAGGCCAAAGACATAGTATTATTAACTGATTATTGACCTATCCTTTCTAAGTCTGTCTATGTTCAATTAAAACGCAACCAGAATTCCTACAGTTGTATCTGTAGAGACTTAGAAGTTGAATCTAAGATTCAAAAATTAATGCACAAGACCCAGAATAGCTTAAAAATTATTAAAGAGAAAAACAGTTTGTGGACTAAAGTCACCTAGCTTCTAGACTTTCTGTAAAGTTATAGAGATCAATATAGTGTGAAGGTGGAGGGGAGTCAAAGGAATCACTGACACACAGTACAGGGTCTGGAAACAGATCATTGATATTCGAGAAAGTTCCAAAGGAAACTCAGTGGAAAGAGTACTCTTTCAGCAAATCACGCTGAAACAGCTGGGTATAAGTATACCTCACACAATGTGGAGGTGTAGTTTGCACCATAGACAAAACCCATTCATCATGGAAAACTGAAGAAAAATGTAAGATCTAAAATAGCAAAAAAACAAAAAAAACACAAATCTAAAATCATGAAATCTAAACTTGCACAATAAGGGGAAATCTGTGACATAAGGTCCCTGAGGGCATTCCATGCTGGCATGCTGGAAAGGTGCACGGAAGCAACTGGGTGGGGGCAAGGGCAGGAAGCTTGACAGAAGTGTCTGTTTGCAACCACAGTCTGTGTCGCTGAAGTTCCAATTCATGTGCGTCGCTGTTGAGTCACTGACATTGGGAATTTGATGGTGTCATGGAAAACTGAAGAAAAATGTAAGATCTAAAATAGAAAAAAAAAATCTAAAATCATGAAATCTAAAATTGCACAATAAGGGGAAATCTGTGACATAAGGTCCCCGAGGGCATTTCATGCTGGCATGCTGGAAAGGTGCACGGAAGCAACGGGGTGGGGGCGAGGGCAGGAAGCTTGACAGAAGTGTCTGTTTGCAACCACAGTCTGTGTCGCTGAAGTTCCAATTCATGTGCATCCCTGTTGAGTCACTGATATTGGGAATTTGATGGTGTGAACTGTGGCCCCATGCACAATGGCATCAGATATGATGGCAGAGGCAAGAACCAGAGTCTGAATGCTCAGGAAGTTGGTGTAGAGTGTGATAGCTAGACCCAACCTGCTTTATGGAGTTCATATGAAAGTGATCCCTCTCTTCTCTCTATCTTTTGGACACCTCATGGCACAATCAGCATAATGTAACTGACCTTCTCATTCTGGGTGTGTTAAGATAGCCTGGAAGAGATGTCTCAGTGGGTAAGAGTAATTGCTATGCAAGCATGAGGACTTGTGTTCAAATCCCCAGCACTCATGTAAAAAGCCAGACATGTCCATGTGTGCCTGTAACCCAGCATTGGTGAGTGGAGACAGATGGATCCCAAGAGTTCATTGGCAAGGCTATACTGGCAGGATAGCCTTGCCACAAAGGCTAACTCTCTAGTCAGTGAGTGTGCTGGATAACTTCAGTTAACTTGACATACCTGTGGTGAGAGAAACACAACTGAGGAATTTCCTTTATAGATAGGC